TTTGGAGCAGGCAGCACAGAGGGGATGGAGAGGCCCATGGGTGCAGCACGTGGGGTGCGGGGTATGGAGCTGGGGACCCCTCCCAGCACTTAGAGGTGGCCTCTGCCAGGCAGGAGCAGACACGAACAGCCCCTGCTGAGCATGGGGACGCAGACACACAGAGCGTGGCTCTGCTGAGGGCTTCATTGATCACTGGAGGATGTCAGAGCTGATCACATGCCTAGGACACCTCGAGACCCTCCTCCTCTGCACAGCTGTCCAAAGCATGAGGGAAGCTCTGCGGGTGGCAATGGTCCCCTGGTACGGGGCAGGGATGGCGCCCTCCATCCCATCCATCCCCAGGCCCTGACACACAGTGCTCAGGGCTCCAGGGATCCCCAGGGTCCCTCAGTGTCCCTGCTCCAGTGCCACCCTTATTGTAACTGACTTCTGCCCTACGTCCAATCTAAACTCTCTGACTCTTTCCCCTTCCTTCTTACAGCCCCCCTGAAGATAGCAAAGGCCAGAAGAAGAATAAGGCAGCAGAACTTATGCTCACGCTGCGTACAAATGCTACAGGAGCAGAAACAAACCGGGAAGCTCTGGGTTCCTCCCAGGAAGGCAAAACTGCACAGAGACGCCCCAGCTGTGTTTGGCAGCGCCCTCCCTGCTCCTCGTGTGATCCCACTGCTGAGCCAGGATGCAGCTGCCCAGTGCTGCAGAGCACCGTCCAGAGCTGGGCCGGGACCTCCTCCCCTTCCTCTCCTGCAGCTCGGCGGGCAGCCTCACCTCCTCCTGTGGCAGAGCTGCTGATCCCACAGATGCCATCTGGATGCTCCTCTAACCCCGAGCTCCTGCCCACCCTGCCAAGAAAAAGCAAACCAACCCCCCACAGCAGGGAATGCACACAGCTTCACGCCGCTCCCCTTCACCCTGTCCTACCTCAGAGACCAAAGGAGCCCTGATCTGGAACTTGGCACAAAACACAGCAGCGTCACTTGAAAATGCAAGTTGTGTTTTCGTTGCCAGGGGTATTACAGCCCAAAGGTTGAAATAAAGTTCATGCAAAGGAGGGTAAATTACAGGTGTTCCATGCACAAAAGCAAAGAGGAACGGTGTGAGGGTGTTTCCAATGAGACCCCAGAGGGAAACCGAGGCAAACAGCAACTGCTACACAACCAATGGTGCAGAGAGAGAATTCACTGCCAGGAGCAGCTCACAGTCCAGTGAGAAAGATTCACAGCACTGGCTGCAGGGTTGTCTTTTAATTAAAAACAATATACAAAAACAATCTGGATTTTTTGAGCTAACTTCTATAAATATTAGTAGGGGGGGAATTGCTAAATGGTGCTGCAAGCAATGTGGGGGCAGAAGAGCCATGGCATGGGAGGTATCTTAATGCCTATGTGCACAGCAGGCTCTGCTGCCCCTGCTTCACTCCTCCACAGGAATCACAGAATTGTAGGGGTTGGAAGGGACCTCCAGAGCTCATCGAGTCCAACCCCCTGCCAAAGCAGTTCCCTACAGCAGGTCGCACAGGTCGGCATCCAGGCAGGTCTTGAACATCTCCAGAGCAGGAGACTCCCCCACCTCCCTGGCAGCCTGTTCCACTGCTCCTCACCTCACTGCACAGAAGTTCCTTCGCACATTGGTGCAGAACTTCCTATGCTGCAGTTTCCGGCCGTTTCCCCTTGTCCTGTCTCCACTCACCACTGAAAAGGGTCCATCCTCGCCATTCAGCCCCCCACACCTCAGATACTGATAGACCTGGATCAGGTCCCCTCTCAGTCTTCTTTTCTCCAGGCTGAACAGACCCAGTTCTCTCAGCCTTTCCTCATAGCAGAGATGCTCCAGGCCCTTCACCATCTTGGTGGCCCTCCGCTGGACTCTTTCCAAGAGATCCCTGTCTTTTTTGTCCTGGGGAGCCCAGAACTGGATGCAGTGCTCCAGATGAGGCCTCAGCAGGGCAGAGCAGAGGGGGAGGATCACCTCCCTCGACCTGCTGGCCACGCTCTGTGCAATGCACCCCAGGATGCCATTGGCCCTCTTGGCCACAAGGGCACACTGCTGGCTCATGGCCGACCTGTCGTCCACCAGGACACCCAGGTCCCTCTCCGCAGAGCTCCCCTCCAGCAGCTCATCCCCCAACCTGTAGTGCTGCATGCAATTATTCCTCCCCAGATGCAAGACTCTACACTTGCTTTTGTTAAACCTCATCTGGTTTTTCTCTGCCCAGCTCTCAGCCTGTCCAGGTCTTGCTGAATGGCAGCACAGCCTTCAGGCTGTCAGCCAATCCTCCCAACTTCGTATCATCACAAACTTGCTGAGGGTGGCCATTATCCCCTCATCAAGGTCACTGATGAAGATGTTGAACAAGAGCGGACCCAGCACCGACCCCTGAGGAACAGCGCTGCTTACAGGCCTCCAACCGGCCTCTGCACCACCAACAGTGACCCTCTGTGCTCTGCCAGTCAGCCAGTTCTCAACCCACCTCACTGTCCACTCATCTGTTCCACACTTGCTCAGCTTTGTTATAAGGATGCCTTGCTGAAATCAAGGTAGACTACATCCACTGCTCTGCCCCCATCCACCCAGCCAGAGACAACATCATAGAAGGCCACCAGGTTGGTCAAGCACGACCTCCCCCTGGTGAACCCGTGCTGACTGCTCCTGATCTCCTGCTCTTCTTCCAGTTGTCTGGAGAGGACATCCAGCACAGCTGTTCCATCACCTTTCCAGGGACAGAGGTGAGGCGGGCTGGCCTATAATTGCCTGGCTCTTCCTTCTTGCTCTTTTTGAAGACCGCAGTGACATTGCCTATCCTCCAGACTTCAGGCTCCATTCCCCTCAAGTCGTCCCTGGACTCATTAAGAAAAAGGGTGACAGAGAGCAAAGGGGAAACCACGGGGTACCAATGTGACAGCTTCCCACGGGGGGGAGGGGCGGGGAAGTTTGGTGGGAGAGAAAACACCCGTGAATTCTGTTTCTCTCCACCTCAAGAAGGCTTTCCTCACTCTCTCTCACCACAGCCTCATAGGCAAGTTGATGACATACCAGCTAAAAAAGAGGGCTACGAGGTGGGCACAAAACTGCCCCAAGGGCCAGACAGAGAGGGCTGCGAGAACTGGCAAAAAGCTCAGCTAGAAGCCAGTTCATAGAAAGGTGCCTTGGCCTCTACCCAGCACCAGCAACGTCCCACCCCTCCATCAGGGCCCCGGCAGCACAGTCTGCAGATGATGCAGAGGTACGAGGAGCAGTTGAAACAGCACATCATCGTGCAGGAATTCAAAGGCAGAAACTCCAAGGAGCGACAGGAAAACACTGGGCAAAGCAGTCGCCCCTCATGGCTCAGCACAGCGCCCTCGCAGCGCCCTGGCACAACACGCGGCGCTGCCGTAACGCGCCTGAAGCCACTGGAGCTGCAGCAGCGCAGCACGGCTCAGTGTCCTCCAAGCTCGAGGCTGAGCTCTGCTCCGAGGCACATTCCCCTGCCGCCCACCCGCTGCCCTCTCCTCCTCCCCGCTCCCAGCGCTGCTCTTCACACCATCCCACCCACACCTCCACTCCTCGTGCCCCAACGCCAGGCTGACGCGCAGGCCACGGCTGCCCGCGTGCAGCTGGGCTTCCCGGGGCAAACAGCAACCCTCAGCACAGCCCAGGGCTGAGAAAGCCACCAGGAAGAGAGGCAAGCTCCAGGGGCCGAGTGCAGGGACGCCTGTCTTCCTCCCGGGCCGCTTCCCCTCCTTCGTGCTTTTGCTAGCGGTCCTTGGAGAGCAAGGGCAGGCTCACAGCCTGTGGCCAGCAGCTACAGGGGGGCTGAAAGGCCACCCGTTGGGAAGACCCACAAGGAAACGGGGGAAAACCAGCAGAATTTCAGGGCAGAGCCGACCGGTTCATGGCCCCGCGATCGCCAGCCCAAGCACGGCACCTTTTGACCAGCTACAGAAAGAGGCAGCACCGTGTGGAAAAAGTCGGTTTCGCTTTTATTCAGTACAAAAGGCTCTGGCTTGTATTTCTATCAACACAGCCCAAAATGAAACCCCAGCGCCCAGGGTTTCTGCTTAGCAAGGAGTCAATCAGCCTCCAGGCAGACACAAGGAGAAGCCTGACCCCGTGGCTACGTCAGCTCCTCTCCCTCCAGGCCCGGCTAGCCGTACTTCAATCTCACACTAGACCGGCCCTGGCCCTGAAGAGACGCAGCCTGAAGGAACACAGCCTCTCCATCTCTTGCCATAGATGAAGACCTGCCTCTGGCAAGCCCTCCTTGCTTGGAATGCAGCACAAGCCCTTCCCTTCCAGGTGCCTCAGCTCCGCTGCACTGTCCGTCACAGGGAAAGCACGGCCGTGCCACAAAACCGGACGCTGACTCAGTGCGCTGCCTTTGGTGCCACCTCCGAGGAAGCATTGCAGCTGATCCCAGTGTCCTGTGGGCCTTCTCGCTCAAGCCCTGCTCGGTTCTTTCTGCTCTCCTTCTGGGCTTTCTTCCTCAGCAGAGCAGCACTTGCCTTGGCTTTCTTCACTGTCTCGCCAGACCGAGTCCCAAGACTGTGCCAGTCCTACAAGAATCAAGGCACAAACGGTCAGGGAACCTGCACAGCTAACAAGTGGCTGACGGCTCGCCTGGGGAGCTCAAGTCACCGCCCGGGCAGCTGTGGCTGCCAGCACTGGAAACCGCCTTCCTGCCATCAGGGCACGCCAGAAACTCCACCTCTATCTCCCTCCCCAAAGTCCCACACGAACTGGAACCCAAAGCCATCTCCTGCAAGGCAGCGCCTGCACACGGCTTGGACACTGCCTGGCAGCACGCACAGCACAGCAGCAGCAGCAGCAGGTGAGCTTGCACCTCCAGGCTCCTTGCGTGCCACCAGGAACAGCACGCACGCCCAAGGAAGGGCACAACACACTGCCGCACTCTCAGCAATGCCGCGGCGCGCTACCGTAGGCAACGGCTCCAGCTGCTTCCCTCCCAGCCCATTTCCTCAGCATTTCTATCAACCTCTACCAAACAGAGCGCTACTTACTGTCTCTGGGCACTTGGCAACTGGCAGGGTTATGGCCCACACGCACACAAGCTGCAAAACGGCTCCAAAGAAGAGGCCGCAGCGCAGCACGTTCTCCATCAGCGTGGGCTCAGGGATCTCCGGGGCCGAGAAATGCACTTCAGCGGCCATAGCGCAGACAGCCTGCTGCTCTGCTGCTCTCCAGGAGGCTGCTTTCTACAAGGGGGAAACGAGAGCCATCATTCCATTCGTGCGCTCCGACGGTGCGACTTCCTGCCAGCAAAAACTCCCAGCCTGACTCACAGACGTGCTCTCAAGACAGCCTTGGTCTTCCGACCCGACCACAAGGAGGGACGCCAAACTTGCATGTCAGCAAGAGCTGAGCAGGCAAGAATCAACTTCTCCCTGAGCTTGATCGCACACGCACGACCACTGTCTCATGAACACGAACAACAACAGTATTCCTACCATCAGCTGCACATCTGCATCTACCTGGGCACGTACGTGTTCACGGCCTTGCTGCTGCTGTGCCGTACGGCACCAAGCACAGCAACAAAGCACGCAGAAAGCCCACCTGCTGAGCACAGGGGGAGCAGCTGGGCTCACGCCTAAGCACTGCTTACTGCAAAGGAAGGCACACCTACCTGGCAACGGCCACGCAGGACGCTCCACACACAGTCACACACTGTTCTCCTGAGGCCCAACGCAATGGCGCAGCCACTCACACTCTGCTCCTCGACGGTCTGCAACACAAAAGTCACAAGCTGGAAATTCAACCCATCCAAGATGCCATCGCGCCTCCGTGCTCACGGCACTCGCACTCATGTCTTCGCACCATCAATCAGGCGTGTGCTTACCGAGTGAGCGCTGCTCACTGCCACCTGACACCAGCAATCGACCCCTAACTGTCAAGTATGAACAGGAACCTATGCCTAACACTAAAAGACTACAAGTAACCTATGCCTAACTCTAACATAAGAACAGGAACCTATGCCTAACACTAAAATACTAAAAGTAACCTATGCCTAACTCTAAAATACGAACAATAATCTACTCCTAACACTAACACTAAAATCAACAACAACAACAACTAAACCATAACTCCTGCAGCATTTAAATGGGAAGAGGAGATCTTGGCTCCCCAGGAGGCTCGGAGGAGGAGCTGATGGAAACTCATGCCACCCAGCTAATGCTGGGGGCGGGGGCCGCGCAGCGGGTAGGGAGCCGAGCGCCTGGACCAGCGGCCGTGGAGGGACGGCGCCGATGCGGGGCCTGGCACGGTGGTGTGGTGCCAGGCCAGCTGAGCCGCAGGCGGATCCACCTCCATGGGCTCATCCGGAGGTGGATCCACCTCCATGGGCTCATCCAGAGGTGGATCCACCTCCATGGGCTCCACGGAGGTGGTCGCAGCGCTGGCCCAGGCGCGATGGAAACGGAATCGCTGCCCCCTCCTCCGCTTGATCTTCAAGGCGGCCCCCCTCCTCCTCTTCGCCTCTGGGAAGCCAAGCTCCCTCTTCCCATTTAAAACAGGGCAAATTGTGCCCCTCGCCCTCTTCACTCCAGCCATGGCTGACAGAGCTCACAGAGGCGAGTGCGTTGGCCGGGGCAGCGGTGACCAAGGTGACGGCTGTGATGCGGCGAAGGTTCTAAAATGGCAGCCGCACTGCTGGCAATGGCGTTCCACAGAGCATGAGGAGGGGGCTGGAGGACAGGGCACGGGACGGCAGCTAGAAGGCACTCCCCGTGCCCAGCGGGCAGCCCTTCTCTCCGGCAAGCAAGAGGCCACAGAGGAGCCGGCCCCGAGAAAAGGGCCCTCGGCCTCCTTCATCCTCTCCCTTCTTCCACACGGGAATCTCTTGCGGCTGGCACACGCAGCACACAGCGCCATGTTCAGGGGCCTCCCGAGCCCAGCGCCAACAACAGCAGGCTCCACAGCGCACCTCACCACGCCTGCCTCCTGGCACACACCAGCTCCGCTTTCCACCTTAGCACCCAGCGCCTCTTCTTGCGCCTCACGGCTGGGGATTCAACCATTCCCTACCATCAATACGGCCAGCTGCATTTTCATTACAATCACTCTCACTCCATTCCACAGCCGCGCACAATGCCGGCACACACACACGGCGCCACCCTGGCTCACCGATGCCTCGCGGGGACCCACACAACAGCATGAGCAAAGCAGGCAGAAACGTGCCGTGCTCCTGACTGATGGCAGTCCGAAAATCTCCCTCTCCCTCCCCCCCGCTCTCCTAAGGCAGCACTTCTCCCAAGCAACAAACACAATCACACACAACTGCAGCCCCGGCTCGTCCCGACAACGGACGTCCACAGGAAGCACATCTTCACAGACCTTCTGCCAGCTCCGCACCCTCCGGCCAACACAGCGCCCACGCGCCTTGCTCCACTGCCCGCCCGCCCGGCCTTTGCTGCCGACAACTCGGCCCTACGGGGCCTCCTCCTTCGCACGCCCCAAACACCAACACAGCTCCGCTCTCGCACGGCCTTCCCTGAGAGGAAGCCGCCCCCCGACCCCGCACCACTCGCCGGCGCCGCACGCATCGCCTCCGCGTGCCGGCAGCACCGCCGGCTCCTCCCCCGAGCGCCCCTCCATGCCCCCGCACCGAGGCCCGACCCCGTTCCCAGCACACAGCCCGCTCCTCCCGGCCCCGCTCACCGGCCCGGCGCCGCCATGCCGCGCTGCCCCGGAAGTGCTCTCCGCCGGCACGAAGCACTTCCTGCCCCGGCCCTACCAACCGCCTGCGGCGTCCCGTTGCTGAGGGCGGCCCGGGGCCTGGAGGAGGGGGAGGGGCAGCTGGGGGGGCCGCTGCCGGATTCCCCTCGGGTGCCGCCGGCGCCATGTTCTAACAGAAATCCCTGTTTATTCCCCTTAAATCTGGGTTTTTTCCCCTTAAATATGGCCTTTTCTGCTTTTTTCTGCCAGAAATCCCTGTTATTCGTGTTAAATACAGCTTTTTCTGCCAGAAATCCCTGTTTTTCCTGTTAAATCTGGTGTTTTCATAGAATCATAGAATCATAGAATCACCACGGTTGGAAAAGACCTACAAGATCACCCAGTCCAACCGTTCACCTATTCCCAATAGCTCCCACTAAACCACGTCCCTCAACACAACATCCAGCCTTTCCTTGAACACCCCCAGGCTCGGTGACTCCACCACCTCCCTGGGCATCCATTCCAGTGCCTGACCACCCTTTCTGAAAAGTAACACTTCCTCATGTCCAGCCTGAATCTCCCCTGCCGTAGCTTGAAGCCATTCCCCCTGCTCCTATCACTGATGACACGAGAGAAGAGGCCGACCCCCAGCTCACTACAGCCTCCCTTCAGGAAGTTATAGAGAGCAATGAGGTCTCCCCTGAGCCTCCTCTTCTCCAGGCTGAACATTCCCAGCTCCTTCAGCCTCTCCTCATCAGCCCTGTGTTCCAGACCCCTCACCAGCTTTGTTGCCCTCCTTTGAACACGTTCCAGGGCCTCAATATCTTTCTTGCAGTGAGGGGCCCAAAACTGGACACAGCACTCGAGGTGCGGCCTCACCAGTGCTGAATACAGGGGAACAATCACCTCTCTGCTCCTGCTTGCAACGCTGTTTCTGATGCAAGCCAGGCTGCCATTGGCCTTCTTGGCCACCTGGGCACACTGTCGGCTCATGTTCAGCCGAGCATCAATCAATACCCCCAGGTCCATTTCCTCTACGCCGTCCTCCAGCCACACCGCCCCAAGCCTGCAGCGTCGCCTGGGGTTGTTGTGGCCGAAGTGCAGGACCCGGCATTTGGCCTTGTTGAAACTCATCCCATTGGCTTCAGCCCAGCTCTCCAGCCTGTCCAGATCCCTCTGTAGGGCCTCGCTACCCCCAGGCAGATCCACACCTCCAGCCCATTTGGTGTCATCTGCGAATGTACTGAGGGTGCACTCGATGCCCTCATCGAGGTCATCAATCAAGATATTGAAGAGGACAGGCCCAGCACCGACCCCTGGGGAACACCACTCATGACCGGTCGCCAGCTGGATTTGACTCCGTTTTCCCCGTAAATATGGCTTTTTCTGCTAAAAACAAATCCCTGTTTTCCCCTTAAATCTAAGTTTTTGCCCCTTAAATATGGCTTTTTCTCCCAGAAATCCCTGTTTTCCCCTTAACTCTGGTGTTTTTCCTCTGAAATATGGGGTTTTTCTCCTTCCATACGGCTTTTTCTGCCAGAAATTCCTGTTTTTCCTATTAAATCTGGGGTATTTTCCCTTGCATGTGACCTTTTCTGCTAGAAATCTTTGTTTTTCCCCTTAAATCCAGTGTTTTCTCGCAGAAATCCCTGTTTTCAACTTAAATATGGCTTTTTCTCCCAGATATCCCTGTTTGTCCCCTTAAAAATAGGGTTTTTCCCCTCAAATATGGTATTTTCTGCTAGAAATCCCTGTTTTTCCATTAAATCTGGGGTTTTGCCCCTCAAATATGGCTTTTTCTGCTAGATATCCCTGTTTTTCCAGTAAATCTAAGGTTTTGCCCCTTAAATATGGCAACTTCTCCCAGAAATCCCTGTTTTTCCTCCTTCAATCTGGGGGTTTTTTCCCTTAAATATAGCTTTTTCTCCCAGATATCCCTGTTTTTCCCCTTAAATCCAGTGTTTTCTCGGAGAAACTCCTGTTTTCAACTTAAATATGGCTTTTTCTCCCAGAAATCCCTGTTTTTCCATTAAATTGGGGGTTTTCTAACAGAAATCCCTGTTTCTCTCCTAAAATCTGTTATTTTTTCCCCTTAAATATGGCTTATTTCAGCTAGAAATCCCTTTCTTCCCTCTAAAATCTGGAGTTTTTCCCCTTAAATATGGCTTTTTCTGCCAGATATCCCAGTTTTCCCCTTAAATCTAAGGTTTTTCCCCTTAAATATGGCTTTTTCTGCCTGAAATTGCTGTTTTTCCTCTTAAATCTGGGTTTTCCCCTTAAATATGGCTTTTTCTGCCAGAAATCCCTGTTTTTCCCCTTCAATCTGAGGTTTTTCACCTTAAATATTGCATTTTCTGCCAGAAATTCCCGTTTTTCCTATTAATTCTGGTGTTTTTCCCCTTACATGTGGCTTTTTCTGCTAGAAATCCCTGTACTTCTCATTAAATCTCGGGTTTTTCCTCTGAAATATGTCTTTTTCTGCCAGAAATCGGGGATTTTCTACCAGAAATCCCTGTTTCTCTCCTAAAATCTGGGGTTTTTGCCCCTTAAATGTGGCTTTTTCAGCTAGAAATCCCTGTTTTCCCCTTCAATCTAAGGTTTTGCCCCTTAAATATGGCTTTCTCTGCCAGAAATTCCAGTTTCTCCTATTAAATCTGGGGTATTTCCCCTTACATGTGGTTTTTTTTGCTAGAAATCCCTGTTTTTCCCATTAAATCCAGTGTTTTCTCGCAGAAATGCCTGTTTTGAACTTAAATAAGGCTTTTTCTGCCAGATATCCCTGTTTCTCCCTTTAAAAACAGGGTTTTTCCCCTCAAATATGGCTTTTTCTGCTAGATATCCCTGTCTCTCCCCTTAAATCTGGGGTTTTCACAGAATTGCAGGGGTTGGAAGGGACCTCCAGAAGAGATAAACGGGCAGGGTGCTGCAGGTGCAAACTTCTTCTCTTCCTGCCGTTGCCCGGTTTTGTTATTCTGGATAAGGCAGAGCAGCCCGGCCTTGTCTGGGCTCTGCAGGCACAGCTCTGATGGAAGAGGTAGCAGGAGGGCTGTTGGAACAGGGACTGTGGTGTTTTAAAGTAGCAGCTGAGCACAAATGTTTGCTGTTGGGCTTCGTGGGAGAAGGGGCACAGGCAGGTACAGCTCCCACAGTGCTTCTGTTAGCTGGCTTCTGTTGTGAATGCTGAAACCTCAGGCTTCCTGCACTGACTGCAGATTTTCACTTCACTGGGGAATTTGCAATGCATGTTGTCATACTGTAATACTTGAATCAACCTTTTTTCTGTCTCTGGGCGAGCACTCGCACTTCCCCCTCCTGCTCTGTGTTGTTCTAGTCTTTCAGCTGACTTTTGTCTCCAGAGCTTCAGGGAGTGATGCACAAAAGAAGCACTGGTCGCTCCCCCAGAGCAGAGTCCCGTTCAGGAGGGAAAATATGCGATCCCTGAAGATGCCTGGTGCACAGATGGGTCCAGCAAGGGCAACCCGAGCAAGTGGAGAGCAGCAGCGTAGCATCCTTCCAGCGAGACGATGCGGTTCAATGAGGGGATGGTCAGAGCAGGCAACGGGCAGAACTGCGAGCCGTGTGGATGGTTATGAGCAAGGCAGTCAGTGGTGGCATCCTGAACGTCTGCACAGGTGGTTGGGCTGTGTGCCGGGGGCTCCCTCTTTGCATTGCACAGTGGGCCGCCCAGGAATGGACTGTCCACCCCCCGATCTGGGGCAAGGACGTGGTTGGGGGTACAGGACTGCAAGTGCTACCGAGCTGCTGGTCATCAGCCCAGTGGCGTGGCCTGCTTGCACACTTGACACTCACCCCGTGTCTCTGCTCATTCCTAGGTGAATCTCAGTGGTTTCGACCCAGGCCCAGTGGTGGTGCACTGAGAGCTTCCTTCAGTGCCGAGCTCTCAGAAGCACGAATCGCTGCAGGTCTGATGGCTGCCTTGCACAGGACAGCAGTGATGGGGATAAGGAGCTGATCCACCCTCCGGCCCTCGTTTCTCCTGGCTCTCCTGAAGATGCTGACCTGAGCCCAGCAGCCATCGCAGTCCCCAGCCTGGATTGGGACCCAGTGTCTTTGCAGTGCAGCCCAGCCAAGCGCAGTCCGAGTGCCCGGCCAGCAGCAGCTCCACGAGGAGCAGGTGGGCATCGCTGAGGAGCAGCCGAGCTTTTGGAGGAGGGCTTGGAATCAGGCAGCCGGTGCCAGGCAGCGGGCAGCACACACAGGGCTGGTGCAGTCACACTTCTCTGCAACTTCGGTGCTTGATTAAATCCAAACCAATCTTTATTCTATGACGAGCAAACCACGCTGTCTACCAAATGGTGTCAAAATATTCTTTCTCACCCTTCACTTCCCTTTCCTGCATGTGATACAGCAGCCCGCTGATCATCGGGGGCTCAGTTTGCCATCAGGGAGTGTCAGCGGTCGTCTGAAGGCTTCGTTGGCTGTCAGAGGGCTCCACTGATCATCAGGGATCTTCACTGAGGTCAGAGGGCTTTGCTAATCAGCAGAGGGTGTCATCGGTCATCAGAGAGGAGATCTGAGGAGCCCGAGGGAGGGATCTGGGGATTCCTTGTTGGGTAGGTAGTGATGGAGGGGAGGTGGGACTGAAGGGCTGAAGCAGATCCAAGTGAGGGGCAATTGGCTGCGATAAGAGAGGGGGTAAAAGGAGGCCGTAGAGAAGGTGGAAGAAAGGGTGAAGGGTTTGGGAGGAACTGGAAGGAGGAAGTGGGAGAGAG